GGGCGCGGGGCGCGGACTCACCACCTCGGTGCTCCCCAGGTCTAGCGTGTCCCACGTAAAGCCCTGTGGCAGCGAGTAGGGCTCCTGGCGCACGTGGTCCTTGTCCGCCTCGATCGCGCCGTGAGACGTGACGACTTCATCTGGACAGGGGCAGAGGGAGGGAGACAGAGGACGCGGGATGGCGAAGCGCGCGGGCGATGCGAACGGCCCGTGGGTTTCCTGGGAGCTTTTAACACATGGCGTTACGTAGGGCATCGCTTCGGCTGCCTCTCAAGTGAAAAGGGCAGCTGGGCGGTGGCGGAGAATAACTGCTCTTTCACCAATACGAGGAGAAATCCTCTGTCATCCGGCGATAACGTGTTTAATGTAACGGCAGTGATGGCTCCGCTCTGCCCCAGCCCCGGATTACAGGCCGATGATGGTGCAGCACCGCCCCGGACGATGCTGGCCCCAGGGCAGCCTCAGAGACGTGCTCTTTTTACTCTGCAAATTAGGGGAGAGGGGCAGGGCGGCGGGGGGCCTCTGACACCTCCCAGCAAAACCTGCAATTAATTTCAGGACGGTGCGTCTCCCCACCCGGACCGCTGGCTGCGCAGTTCGCGTCATCACTGTCTCTAGAGGGTGCCACAAAGGTGTCCTTTTCCGATTCCTTCTCCAAGGCTCCCGGAGGTGGCTGGGAGGAAATTCCAGCTCCTGACGCGGTCGCTGCTTGCCTGGCCACCCTCGGCACCCGCCCGCCCTGCTCCGCAGGCTTAGCCACACTGGCCGCCCTCAGGCTGGCCTGGCTCAGGGCCATCTGGGGCTCCCCTCTACTTGCAAGACCCCCCGTCCCCCCTCCACACGTTTCCCGGGGCTGGTCGCTCCAGTGTTTTCAGACATAAGCTTATGCACGTCTTTCCCTGACTAAGCTTTTCCTACCTGGAGTACATCCTCCCTCATCCACCCCACCCCAACTCGACCCCATGAGGCCGCCACTCACCCTACTTTCCCAGCACTGTCTCCCGGGTGTGTACCCCAGAGCCTGGCATTTAATAATAGACGCTCGACAAATATCTCCTAAATATTATTCAGCCCTAAAAAAGAGATCCTGCCATTTGTGACTATATGAGTGGACCTTGGGAGCATTACGCTAAGTGAAATAAGTCAGACAAATACTGTATGATCTCACTTATATGTGGAATCTAAAAATAAAAAAATAAAAAAAAAAGAACTCCTAGCTACAGAGAATAGACTGGGTATCAGAGGCAGGAGGTGGGGGGTGGAGAAATGGGTAAAGGGGTTGAAAGATGCAAACTCCCAGGGATGGGAAGATAAATTAAGCCCTGGGGTGTCATGTACAGGATAGAGAATATAGTTAATAATACTGTATTGCAGATTTGAAAGTTGCTATGAGTCAATCTTAAAAGTTCTCATTATAAGTAAAAAATTCTGTAATTACGTGAGATGATGGATGTTAACTAGACTTACTGTGGTGATCACTGTGCAATACAGACTTACATCGAATCGTTATGTTGTACACTTGAGATTAATATAACGTATGCCGATTATATGTAAACAAAACGAAACAAAACAAAAAAATGAGCAAATAAACAAATAAGACCAGAAGGGGAGAACCCAAGTGTTTGCTGCATAAATGACACTCAGGTACAAGGTCCTACCATCTCAGCCATCTTCCAGGTGGAAGTCACAGGGTTTGTACTAGCTCCAAGGGATTTCTTTTCTCTTCTTTCTAATCTTTCTTCCTTTGTCTTATCTCCACTCTAGCACCTCATCACCATGGGAACACCTTAGGCTTCCTTGTGTCAGCCCAAGTGGCCAGGTTCCCAGCTGTTCCCTGAGAGCCCCTTCAGACCCTGGTTTAGGGCTTGGCTGTCTACACAACATCAGGGCACCATGGCGTTCGAGAAGCTGCAAACAGCTGGGCGTGTGTAGACCAAACTGGAACGTGGCTCCGGAGAGAAACAGAGAGGCACAGTCTCCCTAACTTTCACACACTCTCCCCTACGTCTGGCCCCCTCTCTTCCACACAAGGGGTTCTAGGGACTGGATTTAGGGGAGGGGACGAAGCGTGGTGAGTAGCCGGCTATCTTCCCAAAGAGGTGTGCTGGGGTTAGGTGCCCTGGGGCTGGCTTTCTCCACACCAGGAGGTGACCTAAAAGCCACCAGCAGTTTGCCGAGCAGCATTCAGCTGAACTCAATACATTCAGATCAATGAAATACATCATTTTAGCTAAGGGCCACTCAATCCAGTATCACTTAAAATCCTGTCAATTCACTCTAGAGAGTCTTTCTGCACGATCAAATACGCTTCTAGAGCCTAAAAGAAAAGGCAGGGAGGAAAATTTCTTCCTTTCCTCTTTCAGACTCTGAAGCTCATGCTTTTTAAGCTGCTTGGGATGGGTGTGGGTGGGAGACAAGCGGTGACTCCGAAAAAAGTTTGAAAACCATTATCGAAGGCACAGAGAAGGACTGTGCCCTGATTTATATGTGATAAAACTGATTATTTGTACATAACTGGACAATTAAGACTTTGGGATGGCAATTAATCCTTTCGATTACACAGATTCGGGAACCCGAACAATCAAGAAAGAAAAACATAGAAATAATTATAGGGCAATCTTTCCTCAGGTAAACTTAATACCAAACAGCAGGCTGAGCTCGTAATACAGGTACAAACATTTATGTGATGTTTATTTACATCGTCCTCCTTTTTTGTATAACGTGAAAGAGGAATAGTCAAATGGCCTTTATGGAAACCGAAGTGACGGAGCAGGCAAAGCCTATTCCGAAGGCTCCTGAGTGCCCCTCAGCCCTGGCTGCCTTCTTCCCAAGGGGTCCCTGTTCCCTTATTACCCCGGAAATGTCATCGCACTCGTGATATAATCGACACCGCTGGTGCATGTTCAGAACCCTCCTGTTCAACCTGAACAACAGAACCTCCTTTTTTAAGTAAAAGTAAAGTTTACATATAATTGCCCACGTCAGTAAGACCGAACAGGGCAAATTTTCCATGTCTTTCGGAATAACTAAGATGTGTGACTGCTAAAAATCTGCGTATAGGAAAAACCACTCCATTAAGCTCAGAACCAAGAAGTAGGGGGTGGAGGAGACTCCCTAATTTCTAGGTACTTTTAAAACGTCAATGTTTCAAGTGTGGGGAAACTAAAATTCTTATTACTGAAAGCCGACGTCACTACTCAATATTTATATTTTAAGAAGAAAAGTATTTTGCGTAATTTTCTAATCTGTGGTATGAAACAAGTTCTATAAGTAAAGTGTGTTTTGTGTGTTTTTTGTTTGTTTGTTTGTTTGTTGATAACGCGGCTTTGCTGGGGTGGGGGAGGCAAAGGAGCTTACTTAGTTTGGGTACCGGCTGTGTGTCCCAAAACTGGTATCTGTGTTTGGCAGCCTCATCGATGTTCCTGGCGGGGCCCTGGCACGCGGACAGCAGCTCCACTGCCCTCTGGATATCCTGCAGCTTCTGCATTGGAATGGCAGGATTCTATGACAGCAAAGACACACAGACACAAACCGTGACGAGACCGCCGCCGCTCCAGAACCCGGGGCAGAGACGCGTGCCTCCGCCACGGGGACGGCAGCCGGAACTCACACAGCCCTCCTCCAAGCCTGGCCAGGGCCTCGGGCTCACGTACGCTCACGTGTTAAAATACGAGCGAACATATCGTGTTAAAGACTACGATAGCTCTACAGTCTCCCTGGGGCTCTGACGGTTTGAGAAATCTAAAGGAAATCGAACCACCCTTTGCTTCGGTTTCCCACCCATCTGCAAAGGGTCCTGACCATCAGTCATGTGGGCGGAGCAGCAAAAGGGAGTGACATGCAAGGCATGCACCATCGTCACACAGCAGCAGCCAGCCAGCCACTAGCCCTGGTGTCACTGTTAGGGTTAATGCTCTGCAGTAGCAATGTGGGGACAAAGGAAATAACTTCTAGAATGGAATCGAGGCAGAGAGGGGAATGTTTAGCTTGTTAAGGAGAGAGAGAGAGAGAGAGAGAGAGAGAGAGAGAGAGAGAGAGAGAGAAGGAAAGAAATCTGCATTCAGCACTGAGCTGGGAAGGAAGTGGATCAAGAAAGGAGGCCCGTAAGGGCGCCTTCCTCCCACACCACCCTGCCCTCTCCTCCTGCTCTGATGGTCCTCCAGAAACAAACCTTCCCCCAAGGATGGGCCGTTTCCTCTGTCAATCAGATCCTGGGCACCACTCCTAGCCTGTTCTCCCCAACTCAACGTTGGAGGCTAACCTCCTTTTTTTTAAGTAAAACATATTCTCAGCCTATAAAATTGATGTACCTTTAAATTCTAAAGTTCTCTCCTCGAAGCCAACATTCGTTATTTCTGAAGATTACCCAGCTTTTTTTGGGGGGGGAGGTGGGGGGAAATCCCTCAAATAATGTCATGCTATGTGGAAAATGAGACTATCCTGGAAATGAGTAGGACCTGGGACTGAATATGGAAATCGATGGGTTTTTTTCAATATGCAAAATTGTGGATTAGTTTTTGAATTCTGATGCCCTGTGAAGACTGGCTCTTTACTATAGCTCAGAAGTGGCTGGAAGGAATTTCAGAGCCCTAAGGCTTCCTGCATGTCAACAAGCCATAAAGACCAAGGAAAGAGACCAGGGACCCTTGGTGATTTACAAACAGCAGCTCTGGACGTCTGCTCAACTTTGACCACGATGTGTGTGGTCTGCAGCAAAGCCTTCAACCCGGAGCTTACTTGTTTGACACAGTACAAAACGGGGTTTATTTCGTACAGACCGTCCCGTGGTTCCTTTACTAACTGGGTTCCCTTAAGATTCTTGCCACCACAATGATTCAAGGAAACGAAGTGCGGGAGTCTAACCAGAGGTAGCTTCAAGTCTGAATGTCTCCCCTTGTAAGCCTAAAGCATCACCCAGGACTGCCCCAATTCTCGTAAGCTCTTACATTTTGATTAAAATCTAAATCGCAAGGCTCACATCTCAATTACACATATGACTAATTTAACAAAATACTTTGCTGTTCTAATTCATCGTGTTTTTTGATTTCTCCTGTTTGGGTCTCTTTTGAACCTCTAATATAAAAGCAACTGGTTTTTAGCAAAGAGAAATTTGCATCCGTTTGAACCCCGGACGACACAATCTGTTAGGAGCCTTATACCTCGAATGGGAACTAAGCATATTCCAGCTAATGATGCGTGAGCATGCATCCATTTATCTTAACGAGGGCAAAGCAGAACTCACTCTTACAAAAAATACACCTGCAGTGTCTACGGTGAATGTGTCACGGTAATTCTTCTTTCCTGAAAGGAGTTAAAGCCCCCAACACTAATATATCAAATGCAAACTGTTCAACACTAATATATCAAACGCAAACCATCCTGTAAGAAACGAGAACCAGCATCTTTGTTCCAAGGAAGCCAATGCTGTCCCGACTCCACAGAGAACTGCTCAGCGTGCTTTCTACTCGACCTAACTAATGAGCCTCACCGGGTTGACCAGCGGTGTTTACGTGAAATCGCCATTTATGAATTATTTATATCCCCCTGCTTTCTTAAAGCACCATTTTCAAATCCACGGCGACAGAGCAGTCAGGAAAACTCAGCTACGATAAATCCTTAAACCTATCCATCCACCTGCTGTAGTAGGACCACCTGGGGAGAAATGAATTAGCGTTAGGAGAAGCGAGCGGGTACCAACCCTGCGTTAGCTTCTCACTATTCTATTCCTGTGTAGGAGTCAGACATTTTTCTTTTCCTCTCTCTCCTCTCCTTGTGAAGTACATCGGTTGTACACTTCGCCCCCTATTTTGCAAATCTAATACTTATTAATGCAAATTTAATACTTACTAGGAAGAAATGTCTAACTCCTCTACCACTAAGAAGTCTACGAGAATCTAGATAAATATCATTTTATTGTGGTTCTTGAGTGTACAACAGAATATTCTCTAAACACAGTCCACTATAATTTACGGGGTTATCTAGAGCTGGCATCAGCTCAAAAAACTAAATAAAAAAAAAAAGGAGCTGAATTTTAAAACACACAGTGAAGAAGAACCCACATTAAAACAATTTTGACTTATTCTTAATTTAAAAAGAAAAGAATTTCTCTACCATGTCATGCTAACAGTTCCTCCAGCTTTGGCTGGCTCTCGTTTCTCGTAAGTGACCAGAAGTAGGAGAAGGCCTCGAAATCACTAGGGGTACAGAGATGGTAGGAGCTGATGGTGATGACAGAAGCCATAAGGAGAGAGTCACAACTGCATATAAGTGACCCCGAATTTATCTGATGAAGCAATGTTTAGAAATGGAAAAAACAAATCTTGCAAGCTTATGGTGTACCTTATATGCGTTACCTTGGAAATTAGGTCCAGTGGATAGAATATTTATTACCTGAGAACCAAGGTGAAAAACTAGGGAGGAAGACTCCATTTTCTTCTCACCCCATAAAGGCGGTCAGGGGAAAACTGGGGCAAGCAATTTTCCTTCTCAGTGATTCCTGGTCCTTACATGTAAAACAGGCAACAACAACAGAACTACCTGCAAGATGCACTTTGTGCGATATACGCAAACTCCGTACAAGAAAAAAAATAATAAACCCCACAAAACTTGCATAATGAGCATCCCTGCCATGGAGGCAGAGTGCTTAATAACATAGAAGCCACTTAATAACAAGGATCTACCTGTAACCTCACAACGGCCCCGTGAGTCGGGGACAAGGCATCGTCCCCGTTTCGTAGATGAGGAAATGGGCTTAAGGATGGGCAGGACCTTGGGCGAAGGCCGAGCTTGAGAGCCTCGGGGCCCGGGCTCCCCACTCGCCTCCCGAGCCCTTCCCACTACACCACACACCGCGAGCATGAAAACAGCTCTAGTCCATGACAGCTAATTCTGCTCCTTGTTACTGTGAGTGTCTTGCATCAAGAAGGCTCTGTGCTTCCCCGAGTCTGGCACGCACGGCCTCTGTTCACAGCTGGGGTGACTGGGGTTGGCTCTACAGACGGGGGCATCTGCCATCTGTACCACCGGATGTACCGATCTGCCAGCACGAGGCCCAGCCTGACAACCTCTGCTTTAGTCAAAAACGTGTCTTCAGGGGGAACATTAGGAGCGATTTCCCACCCTTGGCAAGGGAATAAAGAACGGCCACCGAAGACTGGTCCGATTCA